TATATATATATATATATATATATATATATATGTACATATGTATATATTGTTTATTATATTATATATATATATTTATACATATAAATTATAATAATTAGTTATATATTATATATATATAAATTTATAGATACAAATTGTGTATAAATGATTACAATATATATAAAGATCAGCTATTATCACTTCTCAACTCATCAAATTTTTATTTTGTTTTTAATTTTCAATTATTGTATACTCATAATTAATAAGCGATACTCGTATAGTTGTAATTAATAAGTGAATTTTTATTTTCTGAATTATCTCATTCAAATAAACCGATATCGACTATTTTTCAATAATTTAAAATCAAATATATAGGATAAATCATAAGTCATAGTACAAAATAAAAGTCAGATAGATTCTATGGTTCAAAACAAGTCGAAAATGATGTGAATGAATAGTTGAGCTTTGTAAATTTGTCATGAATGTTTCATTTATCTTTACTGACTCAACTCAACTCAACTCAACAAAGAGAAAAAGCATACAATCCTATTCATATTAAAAACTTATACATGTGTAAGTACATAATATTTTATAATTTTAACTACTTATATCATTACTAATATTTTAAGTATATAAAAAGATTAAAAAATATAGGGTGTTATAGAAATATATTACGCGATGTAATATGCATATTGTATGGATGAAGGAATTTAGGTATTTGAAGATAGACTTTATTTTTTTTTTTCATATACTATATTGTTCAAAAATTTAAAGTATAATCTTATTTCGCAGTTCTTGATTTGTTACTCTTCTAATAATTTATATCTACCTCTTTGTCAAAGAAAAATTAGTTAAGCAGAGTTAAAAAGTTCTCGAAAGATTTCAATATAAGAGTAATTTAGTATTAATGTGTAAGTTTCTTTGAATTTTGCTATTGAAAAAAAAGTAAGTTAGAATTACTACATAATTGCTCATGACAATATACGAGCACTTAAGAATTTTTTATAAATATATTTCACGCGTTAAAACATTTTGAAATTTCTACTTACCTGTCATGATTATATTGATAAAATTTGAATCAAATCAGAAAACATACAATGAGAAACATAACTGAATCAATAACGATAAAAACTGATAATTTAAATTGTTATAACTTATAAAAGAAAAAGATTATATAATAATACACTTGAATCTGTCCTTTTTGAAGATGATTTTATATAATAATGAAAATTGTCAGAATTTATTTAATTATTTAATAAAAATGCGTAATTCTGGATTGAAAATATATAAGTACGTTTTGAACGACGCCTTGAGATCAACTGCACGCGAAGCCAGAGTTGTTTAGTTGACAAAAGCAATCACACATCTCACAGAATTCATCGATATATTCCAACAAAAATAAAATTGCTCTTTTTCTTGAAAATTATAAAACTTCAAACGTTTCTAAAAACAAATTTTTTCATGATTAGATCTACTACTATTTTGAAAACTGAAATCTTTACTTTATCTATTAAAATTTGCTGTACGACTTTTTTTTCGTCGTTTTACTGAACTTTAAATGTTAGAATTAAATGATAAAATAAATTTGAATTTCTTGAATTTTTGTCATTTAATCCTAATATTTGAAGTTCAATAAAATGCTGGAAAAAAGTCGTATAGCAAGTTGTTATAATTGGGACTTCAATCATTAAATTATGATGATAGATTTAGTCATAAAAAATTTTTTTGGATGTTTTTAAAAATAATTGAATTTTTACAATTTTCGAAAAAAAATATCTTTACTTTTCCACCTATTACATGACGTAAAATCATCTTTGAAAAAAAACTCAGCACTGTTAAAGTAAAAATTCTATGTTCTTCATTAAAATGAGATCAAATGTTGTTATATGATTAATTGTTATAGGATTTTCTTTTATAAAGTTATGGCAGTTTAAATTATCGACTATATATATATAATTGATAGAGTTATACTTTGTAGAAATTACATAGAAATTACATTACATTAGTAGAAATTATAAAATAAATATTACAAGGATTATTTATTTTATAATTTATTAATTTTATTATTTATTTTATATATTTTATAAGATTTATAAGATTATTTATTTTATATATTTCGCGCAGAAAATATAAAAATATTTATCAATAAATATTATTAAAATGCAGCTAATTAATTGTATTAGTTTAATTTATATTTATATATTTATCTGCTTATGCACTTATATACGCTGTATAGTAACTTTTTACTACTAAATATCTGTTTACAATTATTTAGCAGTTACAAAATACAAATATATATTGTAATTGATACATTTATACATTTATATTTTCTGATTAGTTCTAAATTTTACCAGTATATTAATATAATATTATTGAAATTTCAAAATGTTATATATTATATACGTTTATGATAAGGGTTCAAATATTTTTGTAAATTATTATATGTCTTTCTTTTCTTTCTTATAATTTGTTATAACCTTAGTGCTTTTAGATATGTTAGCAAAATCATTGCTGATGTCTGTAAACGACGCCGTAGAAACAAGGGTAATCGCTCTAAATGCGTCTACGGGTGCGGTGATTAGCGCAGTCTGGTTGGAAAGAAGCCCAGGAAGCGTTGGAGAACCATTCAAGGTCGACAGTCACGCACTCCAACCAGGATCTGTACCAGATCCGAATTTACCATGGTTTGAAAATGCGGGTGCCACTACAGAACTGAGGTTCGATTTACAGAATTGACATTCGAATCCTCACGCACCCCAATAAAATTTAATGCATGTTTTGCATGTATCACTTACGTTGTCATTGCTTTCATATTTCAAATCATTTATCGAATCTTCGACTCCATTAAATTGAAATTACTTGAAAAAACTTAGGTAATTTTTAATTGTTTAATCACTAAATTTTGAACATTCTAGCATCTTGTGCAATATAACTAGATTTGACGAGGATTTCATGGAGTGACATTAATCAAAATTTTGTTTCAATAAAATACTACTTACATATATTCATAAAATCTTCAATTTATTATTAAAATTTATCATTTAATTTATTATTGTTTATAATAGTTGATGTCGATACCGAAGTTTAGTAGAAAGAAATCAAGCAAACAGGTCCTAATAAATATGGATTCAAAAACCATTTATTTCGGAGTTTTATTCTAAACTTGTAACAGATTCTATTTCATTTGTACCTGAAACTAATTCAAAGAAATATAATCTCAATCGTATTATATGAACACTGTGTAAATATTTTTTTAATCACAGAAATGTATTGTCGTCTTATTACAATGTTTCCATATGTGCATATTGATTGTTCCTCAGCTCGTTAATTAATTTTTCAGATTTGTATTCAAATTCTGAGACTTATGAGAGATGATTAAATATTATGAAAGAATGTGTATCTATGAAAAAAAAGAAGTATATATAGAAATGAGCAAAGAACCAAATATATACTGTAAAAGTAATATTTTATCAACAAAAACTCGTAACTTTGAAATTAATGGTTTTTGCACCCATATTTATTAAAACTTCTTTGCTTGTTTCATGATGCTCCTGACGCTTGACCAACATGTATATATAGGAGAAAATTTTAGAATTTGACGCAATATTTTCATGTGTAAAACGTATGAAAATGATTTTACTAAAAATCTTAGTACGAATCGTAAAGTAAAACTTCAAAATTAATGGTATGCATAGCTTTCTTATTAAACAACGTGACAAATGAAGGAAAACACATGATATTGCGTCCGTAAGATTCTGGTCTCTTTTGTTATAGAAACTGAAATTTTGCAATTTATCTATATTTCATAACATAATAAATTTATCATGTTATATTTTATATAGATGATAATTAATATTTTTGAATTGTATCTTTTGCAGTGATAATGTTTAATTTGAAGGATTCTGTATTATCTGAATATTTGAACTTATTAGCCGATCTTTTGAGTTTGTTTTATGAACTTTCATTCAGATTAGATTAAAAAAATTAAACTGACAAGCTTAACATTTTTCCATTTTTAGATTATGAGTGTTGCCTAACCCTTTACTGATATCATTCGAAATCATAAAAATTTATATTTTGATTAATTAATTTTGACAGTTTTTAAAATAGAAATTACAAAATTAAACAACTTAAATTTTTCTGACGTAATATATAAATTACTAATCATCTGTATCATTACGATATCACTGAAGAGTTAATCACTTTGAAAATGTATTTCGTATCGATATTGTTGGAACATTCAATCTGTGCTTTTTTTTTCTACATATTGTAATAGACTTTCTAGATATTCTATATTAAATTATTTACTATATTAAATTATTTCTATATTAAATTATTCTATATTAAATTATTCCAGTAATGTGTAGATATATAATTAATATTCTATATTAATTATATATCTACACATTACTGGATTATATTACTATAACTGGATTATAGTATAACTGGACGTAAGAACTGAAAGAATATCATACTTTCACGGATGAGTTGAAGTTTAAATTATGGAAGACAATATGAATATGTAGTTGGTAGAAAATTTAAGATATTAAACCACAAGAATAAAACGTGATCTAAGAAATTCCTACTCTAACACATTTTGAAAACATTAAAAGAATTATGAATAATTTGATATAAAATTATAAATTAATAAAGATAATTTTTTTATATAATGTAGGAAAAACAATTACAAAAAACTGATGAAATTGTTAAAATATATATATTACGTTCAAAAATTTACAATTTCGTTCGGAAATCTCTATCAAATTCTAACATTTTATTAGAATTTTTATATTAAAATTTATATTTTACATATTTATATTTTATAGTTTTTAGAATTTATATTTTATATTAGAATTTATATTTTATATTTTAATACATATTTTATCACCCCTTCCTTCAGAAAGAACTCTTACAATAACATGTTGAAAGCCACAATATTAAAATAGACTTCAATATGTATAATCATAAATTCCAAATAGTAGTATATAATCTAAACTATTCTAAGTAGTAGTAGATAATCATAAACTACATAAACGATCTGCCATTTAACTTAAGCTTTTTAAAATCTTTGTTGTTTTTGCCGATGAAAAAACATTTTTAATAAAAATTATTTAATGCAGAGAAATCCTTAATATATATAATTATAGGAACAATTTTAAAGTCACTTTTATTTTTTTAAATATATATTTTTTAGTTTATTAATGGGTATAGCTCGATATTTAAAGTATTAACCTATGTATGTATGTCGAAAAATTATTAGTTCAGAAAATATCTCAATTTTAATTATGTATCTTTTGTAAGCATTCTTGTATTTATATTGCCTTTGTCTTTCTGTAGTTTTATAAATTGAAAGTTAAAATTTTTAAAAAATTATAAAATTGAAAGTAAAATGTCTATTTCTGTTCTGAATAACTTTTATTAACAAAATTTTTTTTATATCTACAAAAACAACGGAAATATTTTAAACACTAAAGTTAGATAAAATACATCCCCTACATTTTACAAAAAGAGGAACACAGAAAAATACTTGAAATACTTTTCCCACTAAAAGAAGTAGAAAAAGTTATTGTTATACAGTAATTCCTTAAATATTTTAAAAAATTTACCTATTCACACTTATAATATTGTCAATAAAAACAATTTTTTACGATTTATTACATTTGGATTTTAATTACAATTTTATTACATTTGATTGAATCAATTTTGCTGTCCGTGTTATTGCATCTGTATTTAATTTATATTTTTTTTAATTTATATTTCATTAATTTTTGATTGTTTCTTTCATTTTCATCATTTCCACACGTGCTTTCCCAAAGAAATTGTAAGAGCATAATCTACGAGTGAAAAAAAAATAATATGTGAAAATCGTTGAAAATATTTAAACCCTCATTTCAAAATGATCATTCTGCATTGATGTAATATGAAAGTTGATGTAATATG